GATATATGGTGCTGTCTACAGATCTAATGGCTAGTCCCTGTTGGACTACATCGCCTCTACACGGCGACAGATAGGACCGAGAAAAACCCAGGGGAACGTATTTTCTCGTATGTGACTAATTTACCAATGAAGCACACACCTGGGTATTTCTGCCTCCAACACGGGTCACTTCTCGATGGTGCGACTTCAGGAGGTCACCCAGTCCGTGCTCATCGGTGAGCGAGCGCAGCGCAGCCCCACCACCTGCCAGCCTCTGCCTCGAACTTCAACCGCTGCCTTAGCCTCTGCCAACGGCCTGGACACACAAGGGCCCCACCTGCCCTCTCCCAGGGTTAACAGGCCACAGGTTGCTGACATCTTCCCCCAAAGACACGCATCTTCTAGGTCAGAGCTGGAGGGGATTTAAGAGACTGCCCAGTGGGACCATTCATTTCTACTGCCCTGTGCCTCTGTCTCAGCCGTGTCTCTAAATGCCACTGTCCCTGGTTGCACATCTGTGCTCGCCTCTTCTCCGTTCTCAGTCTCCTCCTTTGCCTCATGCTGCTGCTCCTCCTTACACTCCACCTTCTTGCTCAGCTTTCAGGAAACCCTTGCCTGACCCCCCATTGTGTCCTCTTCATCTCCTCCCTCCCCCACTTCCCTGAGCTGGTGGATTCAGCCTTTTACCCGGCCAGGTTCTGGGTCCCTGCCCTTTAGGAACACCTGGCTCCTCTAGGACCCCCCACCCCCACGGACTCCTCCCTTCCTAGTCCTCAGCAGAGGCCCTCCCATCCTGCTGCCGCTGCCCAGAGACTTCTGGCACAGCTTTTCTCCCTCCCCCCTCCCCCTAGGCTTTGGCTCCTTCGTGGACAAGACGGTACTGCCCTTCGTGAGCACAGTGCCCTCCAAGCTTCGCCATCCCTGCCCCACCCGACTGGAGCGCTGCCAGCCCCCCTTCAGCTTTCACCACGTGCTATCCCTGACGGGGGATGCCAAGGCCTTCGAGCGGGAGGTGGGGCGCCAGAGTGTGTCTGGCAACCTGGACTCACCTGAAGGTGGCTTTGATGCCATTCTACAGGCTGCACTCTGCCAGGTAAGAAGGTGGGGCAGGGGTCTGAATCTGAAGGACTGTTGGGGGCCAAGACTGCACCTACAGTTGTGCAGTACACAGTTCCACAGGGTAGCATTTGTATCGTCACCGTAGTTTGCATATTTATTTTGACAATTTCCTAGTAAACTGAAGTAAAATATCTTGAGGAAGAGGCATGTTTTCTAACTCTCAAGAATGTTTTCACTAGCAGCAACCCTGCCTTAGGGTCTAGGGAAAAGAAGCAGGGAGCTGGGGGCAGGGGTATAGACAAACTGACTCAGAATGAAGTTGGCCAAATCCTTGGCTCACATTGCTGGCTGGGTGGCTCAAGGGCCATGCCCAGGTGCACAGCCTACCCCCTACCCCACCCTAGGAGCAGATTGGCTGGAGAAATGTGTCTCGGCTGCTGGTGTTCACTTCAGATGACACGTTCCACACAGCTGGGGATGGAAAGTTGGGTGGCATTTTCATGCCCAGTGATGGGCATTGCCACTTGGACAGCAATGGCCTCTATAGTCGCAGCCCAGAGTTTGTGAGTCCATCTTAGTCCCATGTCCCTCCCTGTCTGAGCCCCACCTTCTCTCTTCCCAGGACCCCCACCCCCCCAGCTTCATTCTCCTCGCTGGTAACCACCCAGCTGTTTTCCCCAGCAGCTCCACCCGCACTAGCCGCTCCCTCCCTTGCCAAGTCCCCAGGGCTCCTGTAGCTGGTGGAACCCCAGTTCCTGGATTTCCTGGGCTGAGGGTACCTGGAGTGTTTGGAGGACCTGCGGTGCTCACCTTGCCCCCATTCCCTGCTCCAGGACTACCCCTCTGTGGGTCAGGTAGCCCAGGCTCTCTCTGCAGCAAACATCCAGCCCATTTTTGCTGTCACCAGTGCCACACTGCCCGTCTACCAGGTGAGAGCCCTCCCACCCTGAACCTTCCTCAAGTCTCTCAAAGTCCCATTCTTCTCTCCCCCTATGCCCTCCTTCCAGACCCCCTGAAGCCCATTTCTCTGGAGTTGTGACCCACCCTTTCCCTCAACTCCTCATAATTCAGGAGCTGAGTAAGCTGATCCCTAAGTCCGCAGTGGGGGAGCTGAGTGAGAACTCCAGCAATGTGGTGCAGCTCATCATGGACGCTTATAATGTGAGGAGCTGAGGGGGCGGGGGGGGGGATGGTGAGGGCAGACACTGGGGCAAGGTGGGAAAGGGCCCTCGAGAGGGGTGGCAGAACTAAGAGGGAATAATTGCTTTTTGGGTGACCCACCACAGCTCCTACCTGCAGCTTGCATAGGGTTGTCTTAATAGTTCATTCACTCAGTCAGTCTTACATTCACAAATCTTAAGTGTCTGATTGTGTAGAGAATGGAGCCCAGCTCTGAGCAAGGAAGGAAAGTAATATTCATTGAGCTTTTATTGCATGCCAAGTGCACATACTTCGATTGCTATCCCATTTAACCTCACAAAACCTGCTGCTGGGTAACTATTACCATCCCTATTTTATAGATGGGGGTGCAGACACAAGGAGGCTCAGTGACTTACCCAAGGTCACTCAGATAAAAGAGAGAAGGGCTGGAATTTGTCCTCTAGTCAGTCTGTACATAAATGATGTAATATCCAGAACCTGCTTTCATTAAGCTTATAAACAATCCAGATATTCTTCACAGGAAACATAGTTTTACAGGTAGGAGGAACCATAAAAATTCTTAAGTGTTTCTTGGTTTAGGTCTTATCTTTGTAACTAGACTGTAGGCTTCTTGATGACAGGAACCATTTCCTAAAACCACAGTGAGAAAACCTGAGCCGGTATCAAATTTTCCAGGATGAAGTCTGGGAGAACTGCCCTTTAGACCTTGTATGTACACAGGTTATTATGTCCTGATTTGGGATTTGAGAACACGGCTGCTGCATGTTTACGGTGCCTGGCCAGCCCCTGAGCCCCCAGCAAGCCCTGGCTCCCTGGCTGCAGCTGCACTGAAGTGCTAGTAGAGGCCCTGGATGCCCCTGTACTCCCCTCGAGGTTCTCACAGGTCCCTCCTCCAGAGATGCCTCCAGACTAGGCAGAATGGAAGGAGCCTTGAGGGGGGCTGAGGGCAGGGTTCTGGCAGAATTTGGAATGGCTGGAGAGGGCATGAGGTGGGGTCAGAGTCCACCGTCATGTGGTTACTCATTCTCTCCCACAGAGTCTGTCATCCACTGTGACCCTCGAACACTCTCCACTCCCTCCGGGGGTCAACATCTCTTATGAATCTCAGTGTGGGGGTCATGAGAAGAGGGCTGGTGAGCCTGGGGACCGGGGCCAGTGCAACCATGTCCGAATCAACCAGACGGTGAGAGCCAGTTGGAATAGGTAGAAGGGGCCCTGGCCAGGTAGCTCAGTTGGTTACAGCATCGTCCCCAATATGCCAAGGTTGCGGGTTCGATCCCTGGTCAGGGCTCATACAAGAATCAACCAGTGAATGCATAAATAAGTGGAACAACAAACCAATGTTTCTCTCTCTAAAATCAATTTAAAAAAATAGGCAGAATGAAGGAAGTGGGGGTGGGAGTGGGAAATTGAGGCGGGAAGGATAAGATGGGGGCAGGCACAGAGAACAATGCAAGAACTTGAGGTAGTTCTCCATCTACCCTTTCTGAAGGGGTTTAATGATTAGCTTCAAGCACGTTGCTAGGAGATGGGTGTTAGCATTGACTGTCCCTTAATTTACTAAGGAGTAGGGTTCTAGATGATCCATAGGTTTGGGGTGTGTGCCCATGTGCATAGGGGTGCATGTATGAGTTTAGTCTGACTTCTGCCCATTCTGCCCTCAGGTGAATTTTTTGGTTACTTTCCAAGCTACCCGCTGCCTCCCAGGGCCCCATTTTCTGAAGTTCCGAGCTCTTGGCTTCTCAGAGGAGCTGACTGTGGAGTTGCACACACTGTGCGATTGCAACTGCAATGACACCCAGCTCCCAGCGCCCCACTGCAGTGACCACGGGCACCTACAATGCGGGGTGTGCAGGTGAGGGCCTCTAGCTTCCCTCCACCTATGTAGCTCCCCACAGATACAGCCCCTGTATTCCTCCTCCTTTGCCTTCTGTTTTTCCACTGGCATCTCTAGACAAGTTTTTCCTACACATCCCTAGACGGCACCCTGATTTTTATCTCCTGAAGCTTCCCAGAATGCTGAGACCCTCCCCTCCACCAGGACACACTCTGCTCCTCCACTCCTTGGTGCTTTACTATATTCCACATCCCTTCAGCCACCATCTAAACTCTTGTGAGACCTTGGGTTTAGAGTCTCCTGGGAAAGACAGGTAAAGGAATGACCGAACTCTCGGACCCACCTCTCTCTCCCTTTCTTTCCCCTCCCAGCTGTGACCCAGGCCGCCTGGGTCGACTCTGTGAGTGCTCTGAGTCTGAGCTGTCCTCCCCAGATCTGGAATCTGGGTGCCGGGGCCCCAATGGGACAGGGCCCCTGTGCAGTGGGAAGGGACGATGTCAGTGTGGACGCTGCAGCTGCAGCGGACAGAGCTCTGGGCGCCTGTGCGAGTGTGACGATGCCAGCTGTGAGCGACACGAGGGCATCCTCTGTGGAGGTACCTGGGGACCTGTGGGAGAAGGGAGGGTTCAGAGTGGCTCTCCCAAGGGTATTTAGGCTCTGGGACCTTTAAGGCACTAAGGGCAAGTACAGAGACTCTGGTGTAGGAGCTGGGGCACACATCTGGCATACTGAGAGGGGACTGGATGCACGGGAACAGGTCAGCTCTAGGCTGTGATGTCCATTGTGTGTGTGGAACATGTTTGTCACCGTGTGTGACTCTGCTCCAGGCTTTGGCCTCTGCCAATGTGGAGTGTGTCACTGTCACGCCAACCGCACGGGCAGAGCGTGTGAGTGCAGTGGGGACATGGATGGCTGCGTCGGTCCTGAGGGAAGGCTCTGCAGTGGGCATGGACATTGCAAATGCAACCGCTGCCAGTGCTTGGACGGCTACTACGGTGCCCTATGTGATCAGTGCCCAGGCTGCAAGACACCATGCGAGAGACACAGGTGAGGCCTCAGGCCTGGCATTTGGGGCCCCTGCCTGCTTTCCTCCATGTGGTGTGGGTGACAACTGTCCAGTCAGTAACTTACTGGCGTCTATTGGACAGGGACTGTGCAGAGTGTGGGGCCTTTGGGACTGGTCTCCTGGCCACCAATTGCAGCATGGCTTGTGCCCATACCAACGTGACTCTGGCTCTGGCCCCTATGCTGGATGATGGCTGGTGCAAAGAGAGGACCCTGGACAACCAGCTGTTCTTCTTCCTGGTGGAGGAGGAAGCCGGAGGCAGGGTCATGCTGAGAGTGAGACCCCAAGAGAGTAAGTGGACAGGGATGCCTTGGACATGCCAAATGGAGCCATGAAGGTTGATGGGTGGGGCCTCAGAACTCAGGTTGAGGAGGTAAAGACAGAGGAACCAGGCTAGGGATTGAAGCAGAGCTGAGAATCCAGGCAAAAGTGGCGGTAATGGATCAAGTGGAGGCTAAAAAAACTGGGCACTGAACATAAACCTGCTGAGTTCCCTTTGTTTCCAATGACAGGGACGGCCGGGGAGGTTGGATGGGGCTGCACACACACTGGGCAACTGTTGCTCAATCTCTGTGTCCCACCCGCCCAGAGGTCTTTGTTTCACCCCCACAGAGGGAGCAGACCACACCCAGGCCATTGTGCTAGGCTGTGTGGGGGGCATTGTGGCAGTGGGACTGGGGCTGGTCCTGGCTTACCGGCTCTCCGTGGAAATCTATGACCGCCGAGAATACAAGCGCTTTGAGAAGGAGCGGCAGCAGCCCAACTGGAAGCAGGTGAGACTGCCTCCTAGTCCACTGGGCTGGTTTTCACTTGCTTTCCTGGGTTAGGTCCTCTGCCCCAGCTGTCTCATTCCACCCTCAGCCCTGACCCCCCTCCCCCCCCCCCGTCACCTAGGTGTTTGTGGCCTGTCCACAGGCTTCTAGGGTCCGGCTCAAGTTCTAGGTCGGCCCTTAGGATTAGCTAAAGGAGAAGTCCTGGGACTTTTCCTCATCATTTCCAACTTCTTCCCCCAGGACAGAAATCCTCTCTACAAAAGCGCCGTCACGACCATCATTAACCCCCGCTTTCAAGCTCCAGAAAGTCCTCTCTGAAGAGGGTAGGGCTACTCACTCCAGGGCTCTGCTTGCTGGGGGGATGGTGGGAATTGGGGCTCTGGGTCTATCAGGCAGCAGCCTGCTGGGGGACTAATCACCGCCTACTGTACTTGGACACCCCAGAGGGCCGGCCTCCTGCCGCACCCTTGCTTCCCCACCCCTCAAGAAGTGGGGGGTTGCCCCATCCACAAATACAATAAAGAATCTTCAGATTACAGATCACTTTAACAAACACTGTGTATGCTGGTATCCAACCTCATTCTGTCTTGTTCAGCAGGGTTTTTTTCTCTTAATCAGAATTAATACATATATATGTATTTTAGATACCTCGGTTTCAATTCTACTTGTTGCTTGCCTGCGGAGAAGGGGAGTTTTAAAGTGGCGGTTTATAGGGTGCTAGAAATTGCAGGATGGTTATATTTGGGGGGAAAAGGGAGATCATGTTGGCCCCAGTGAAAAAAATTCCCCACAAGATATTCTTTTCAAAGATGAGATAGTATGTAAAAAAAGCCCCATTTTCTTTTTATTTAAATATCCTAAATATATCACGAAGGAACATACACTGCACTTTAATGGTAAAAAGATACAAGTTTATAACATCTTATAAAAACTACCATTTAAAAGTGATCTTGTTCATTTGATATTCCCCACCCCCCATAGCAAAATAAGTATATTAAAAAAAAGAGAGAGAGAGAGAGAGAGAGAGGGTGGGTGGTGAGGCAGGTAGGAGGGATTAAGATAAAAGCCCCAGAGCTACAGCAGAGGCAGAGTCTGAGGAGAGGGTTACTAGTAAAAGTCGTGGCGGGACTCTGTGTCTCTTAACCCTCCGATGTCAAGCCGTGGGGCACAATCAGTAGCTAAGTGATGACAAGAGGCTGTTGGGGGTGGACGAAAAAGACTTGGGGTGCTGGGAAGGGCAGGGCTGGTAGGGCTTGGTATAGCAGTTCACCCAGGAACTGGGGCTACTCTTTCCCGGGTCCAATTCCACAGCCTGGTCTCTGAGAGCCTGCCCTATCTCCCTTTCCCTTCACTCCAAACACACCTGAGGCATCTTTCCAGTGCTAGACCCCATCCCAGCAAACAAAGGGTGGGGTGTTGGGCCCAGGAGCCTTTGCCGCGGTCTTAGTCTATGGTTTCCCTGGGGGATAAGTGGGGCTCCTGCCCACCCCCCCACGGGCGCTAAATCACTCCTTTCACCTCTTTGCTTCCCTCTCCTTATACATCCATGGCCCCAGAACATCAGCACCTGGACAACCAAACTAACCCCCTGCTCCTGGGTCTCCCCCACACCCAGGCGTTGGCAGGGGTGGTTCTGGTATGGCTCTACATATCCACTTAATTTCCCCTCTCCCACCCCCTCAGGCAGGAAGTGAGGCCTGTCGGGGCTAGGGCACATCCTGACCTAAACACACATTCACACACATAGGGGCATGGATCACTCACGTGCTTCTCTCCACACCCACCCACCCCAACCCACAACCCAGTGGCAGGGAGCGAGGCCTCCCATTTTCAAAAGCGCTCTTGGGAGGACAATTTTCTAAACGTATCCTCCTTCCCAGAACATATTCCCAGAGGCGAACAATAGACAAATTCCAGCCTGAGCAGAGCACTCTCCCAGGAAGGGGCTGGCTCACATGCAGAAAAATGCCCTCACAGGGGCCACAGGGCGATTCTGACACAACCCCTGGGAGTGCCAGCCTAAAGCACAGGGCGGCACACACATCCCCAAGGTCTCCCCAAAGGATCTCAGATGCTCTCAGGAAAAACCTAAAAGGTGTCATGCCCCTTTCCTCTTTCCCTGAGATCCTCACACCTCCGAGGTACAGAGGGCTGCCCCACTCCCCCATGCTCTCTTCCAGAATAGGTAACAGCCAGGAGTATGTTGCTGCTGTTCCCTACACTTTCTGGGAAAGAACTCACATTTCCTAGAGGCCATAGGATCCCCACTGACAGCTTGGTCAGGTTCATCAAGTCTCCATGATTACTCCTCATTCCACAGGTCAGGGCAGGCCACAGAACACAGGCCACAAACCCCAGGCCTTCCATAAGGATCCTTTCCTTAGCAGGAAGAGGGCTTTTCATTTCACTTTAGAAAATTCACGTTCACAAGCTCCTGGCATAAGTTAGAAACATCTAACCCCCACTCTGTTGAATCAATCTAAAAACAAAAACAAAACAAAAACACCTCCAAAACAAAGCCCTCCCGTTCCCTAAATTGAGTTTCTCAGGTCCTGCTGGAACCTTACACACCCTCAGGTTTGGGGCGGGGGAGGCTGTTTCATGCTCATCCTCCCCTGTGCAGAGGCCAGAGAAGAGCCTGGCTCAATAATATGCCGTCTCCAAGCACACAAACACCAACACTCACACACACACACCCCAGATCATTTTTTTGAGGGTGGATAGGATGATGGTGTTGGGAGCAGAGAGAAGCAAAGAGTATGGTTAAGAATAAAACCTACATTAGGTTTCATCCTCAGTCCTTTCTCTGCAGCTCTTCTACTCCCCCCAATTCTTTGTTGGGTAGGGATGGCCATCAAGAAGGAAGCCAAGATCTTGTTCTTTGGGACCAAAGGCCAGACCCCTATCTCCTCTACCTGAATACAGTGATAGGACTTGGGCAGAGAGAACAGCTCACACTGCTCAACTGTCATGTCAAGGGACACCAAATTCCTTTGTTTCCTGAACAGCTGTTACTCAACTTAGGACTAGTCTTGGGTGGTTCCAAAGAGGGCACAAGGAGGAAGAACTACTTTGATATCCATGACTCCCTGGCTCAACAACCCTGTTTGGCTTAGGAATCAATGGCAGCGAGGTAGCCACAGACTATTTCCAAGGTCAACTGCCCAAAGAGAGAAGGAAAGGGCTTCATGAGCCACTGTCACCCAAGTTTCCTCCAAAAGGCACTTAGGCTGACCCCATTAGGTACCAGTGTGGCATGGTTCATTACAACATCCATGGGCACAACTCTTACTCTTCCCCAGAGGAAATAACAGGTACCTGTCAACTCTTCTTGGATCCAGCCCTCGTCTGCTCCTCCTACTGTTCTTCCTTTTGTCCCTACAGTGTATAAGGAAGCCAAAGTAAGCTCAGCTGCCATCCCTGATCCTATTCTCCTTCAAACAGGAGGTAAGGGGCAGGGCTGTGGAACACTGAGGATCAATTGCAACTAAAAACTCAATTCTGGAGGGCTGGACCACCCATCGTCCCCGTGGCCATGGTTCTATACCTCCAGATTACCTGTATCCACAGTGTACCTGCTGAAATTGCTTTTGGATAAACAAAAATAAGAACAGGACAAACAAATAAACAAATCCCTCTCCCAATCTTTTTCATTTCAGCTGCCAGTTGGAGTCCAAGGTTGTGGGAGCCACATTTCAGTCTTGGTCCTGTACCTTGAGTCCCCCACCTATGACCTCAGCCAAGGGTCCAGGGACTAGCTTTCCTGCCCAGGAATGCTGTAGGAACTTCCCCGAGATACTCATAGTCTCAGATTATTTACAGAGCTGAGGCTCTGGGGCTGTTGTCCCCTGATGCACTCTTCTGGTCTCCTAGGTCCACTCCTCCAGGAGGGGACAGGTACACACGGGGTGGTGGTGGGACCGTCAGACCAGAGGAGGGTGTGTTCTTCGGTAGATTCTTCTCATCACTCCCACCACCCAGGGCCCCTTGCGCCTATAGAGAAAACTGCCCGTCGGAAGTCTTGGACTGGCACCCTTGGCACATCCGTTTGTGTCTGAGTAATCGATCTGTCCGAGAAAAACACTGAGAAGAAAGGGAGGGTTAAGTGCCTGAGAGGAGGAACTCAGATACCTGTTGGCTAGACCTGTCTTCCCCACACAGGAGGCATATAACCAATTTTATGTTGCCTCAGAACGTACACAGATGGCATGAATGCATAGTGGTTAAGAACAAATAAACTGAGAAGTCTGAATCTTGGCTCTGCCACTAAGTAGCTGTGTGACTCTGGGCAAGTTACCTAACAGTTTACAATCTGCAGATCTACCTGAAAAATGGGGCTAAAAGTACCTACTCAGACTGTGGCTCCTTCATTCATCAAAGTTTTATTGAGTCTCAATCTCAAGGCAGGTACAGTTCTTGGGGCTGCAGATATAGAGTGGAGAACCAGAGGGACAAAATCTCTGCCTCATGGAGCTTTCATTCTAGTGTTCTGAAGACTCAATGTAAGAGCATGGAGCAAAGCTTGAGTCATAGTGAAGCATCCAGGAGGTGTTATCATTTCTTATCTCTTGTCCTTTGTTTTGATCCTGGCTCTTACATTCTCATCAGATCAGATGCTGACTCTCAGCGCGGAGATTACCTTTCTTCTTCCAGCTCTGAAGTTTGACTGAATTCTGACTCTGCCCTTGACCTGCTGTGTCCTTGGGAAGCTTAACCTCTTTCAGTCTGTTTTTTTCATGTGAAATGAGGACAACAAATTATGGAATGAATGTAAGAATAATCTATGTCAAGGATGCTCTCATAGTACCTGGCATAGATTAAGACCTTAAGAAATGCTATTATTATAATAATTTTTTATTACAATTATTCTAATGGTCCCTCCCCATGAGCAGTTGCGTAAGGCCAGGGAAATACACCTCACCCTGAGGTCCTGACTTGATCATGGCCTTTGTCGGGCTGGGAGTGGGGGCTGGCCCGCATTCTTTGGGAAGGAAAAGTTTCTGTGGAGGGTGGATGGATGGCATGTGAGCTTACCTGATGACACCGTTCACACTGGTAGGGCTTTTCACCACTGTGCACACGCTTGTGACGCTCCAAGTGGTACTTCTGAATGAAGCGCATATCACATACATCACACTCAAATGGCTTCTCACCTGGCCCAGATGGAGAGAGAAGTTAATATCAGGAGGTATGCATGGCAGGGACCTCGTTCTAGGTATTTTCCCAGAAATTTTAACTTTTAGCAACGTGCAGACACCTAATGGGGAAGGGTCCACAAAGCTGTTGGTCTCAGTGACACCAGATACAGAGCCATGCAATCTCTATCTCATTCATTTACCTTCTTCCTTTACTTCTAATACCCTTTAAAGTAAATCCAACAAAAAAAATAACATAAAATAAACCTAATCTCTCCCTCTCTCTCTCTCTCTCTCTCTCTCTCTCTCTCTCTCTCACACACACACACACACACACACACACACACACACACACCAAACTATCGACTGTTCTCCTCTCCCTTGAATCTGAGAAAAAACTTACCGGTATGAATAAGGATGTGCCTCTTGAGGTGGTAACTGCTCCGAAAGGCTCCAAAGCAGTGTTCACAAACAAAATTTTTGGGAATCTTTACTTGAAAAGAACCATTTTGTTCCACTACTACAACCTGTGGGCAACAATCAGGCACGTCGTAAGGCTCTCTCTCTGTCCCCTTCTTGCCCCCATTCTACTCAGGGTCTATTTCCAGCTGCTGGACAAAGTAACCCCTCTAATGCTGCCATCTCCCGTATCCCCTACAGTTCAGAGATCCTCCAAGAAAGGAGGGGGGTGGCTAAGCTACCTGCCTTGTCAAACTCAATATACATATTTTTAAAATCCTCACCTGAGGATATTTTTCCATTGATTTAAAAAAATATATATATATCCCTATTAATTTCAGAGAGGAAGGGAGAGGGAAAGAGAAATAGAAACATCAATTTTGAGAGAGAGTCATTGATCGGCTGCCTCCTGCACGCCCCCTACTGGGGATTGAGCCCACAACCTGGGCATGCGCCCCCTAACCAGAATTGAACCCGGGACCCCTCAGTCCGCAGGTCAACACTCTATTCACTGTGCCAAACCAGCTAGGGCTCCATTGATTTTTAGAGAGAGTGGAAGAGAGAGGGAAAGAGAGAGAGAAATATCGACGTGAAAGAAACACATCGATTGGTTGCCTCCTGCACGAGCCCTGACCAGGGCCCAGGCTGGGGAGGAGCCTGCAATCTAACCTGGGATCCTTTGGTCCTCAGGCCATCGCTCTATCTGCTGAGCCAAACCAGCTAGGCAAACTCAGTATTTTTAATGCGACCCGAGGCGTAGTCTGCCTGTCCTTTGACAGAGGATCTCATGCTTGCTTCTCTAACCTTCCTTCCTTACCAAGGATGTTCTGAAGAAGGTAGAGATGAACTACCAAAGTGGTCTCTGGATGAAATTAGGGTGACACAAACATTGGCTATGAGGGACCAAAACATCTCGGGAAAGCTCCAGGTTGGGCCATAGAAGAAAGATTACCCCATTACCAAACTACCAGTTTGTGGATAACCCCATTACCTGCCTTTTTAACAGTCTTTTTTGAATGAGAGGCCTCAGCCAAGCTGTCTTCATCTTTGCGGCTCCGGGACTTATCGCTGTCTTTTCGGTGGCCCTTCGAATACAAATCAAATCTAAATTCACAGTCCATCTCAAAACCCAAGACAGGAGACCAAATGCTACTTTTAGGCAACTTGTAAATGAGAGTAAACCACCTGCCCAAAGGTTAAGAGAAAGTACTCATCTATTTCTTCCCCAAGTATTCTGGTTTTAAGGGGATGTAGGTATAGAAAAGACCCTTCTTTGTTCTCTAAAAAACCCATATTCATTCATTCCCCAACTGGATCCCCTTACCCCACTTCCTTAAACAGAAGCACTGAGGAATCAAAGCTTGGCATCTCCTGGCAGAGAGCTTGGGCCACCCGACCCCCAGGTGCCACAATGGATTCCAGCTCTGTACCTGACTGGAGCACCTCAGCACATCAGGGCTACCTGCCCGCTCTCCGTTCTCGGCCTGCTTGCTGGCAATCTGGCTCAGCATCATCTTCTTGCTGGCTGCAGTGGGAACCAAACTCACACCTGCTAGGCCTTCACAAGCCAGGAGACTTGCCTAAGTTGAAAGGAGATGAGGTATCAGGTCACCTGGCAGGGCAGAAACAGGCTGCCATCCTCCACAGAACTACCTTTTACTCCTACCTATGAACAAACTGCTCTACAGACAAAACTCTGCTTCCTTCAAGAGTCCTCCCTAACTCATCTCACCAGGAATTAGTTACTTATTTTGTCATCCATCATTTAGATATAATAATCAAGTATTATTGACACTTTTATCATTAGCACTGTGCTAGGTACAGTGTGGGTCTACATGTTACTGTGAAGTGTTTCTAGGTCTTGGGAGTGGGCATGAGTCTGTCCTGCTGACCCACTGAAATGGGAGATTTCTAGAGGAACTTCCTCCTTCTCTCAATAGCACTCAGCTTTACAGACCCCACTAGTGCCAAGTATATATTCTATCAGGTTCCACAAATGTTTATCGGTAAAATTAGGTTATTTCTCTCTTTAGATTTTAAATCCCCTAAGTGTATCAATTATAACAGACATAAAAATTAAACAACTTGGAAGGATTTGGGAGCTGAATGTACAATTTCTGTTCACACACTACCTGGCCATTTATATGTGTGCATACCCGTATTTTTTCACATTCCTTGCTCGACATATAGTTTAAAATTACATAAGGAATGTTTAAGAAAATGTCCTCTTTCCATTGTTACATTCTTTAAATTGACTGTTTAGCCAGCACTAGAGACTATACTTTTCTTACTGAAGGAACTTTTAAGTAGTAGTTGGTCAGCAAACTTCCACAAGTGATTTATAAAGAAATTCCTTTTAGATGATCAGTATATCCTGGAACCCCTTCTTTCACCTTCAAAGACTTTGGACTAAAGGATCTGGAGGTAAAAAAAAAACACAACAACACGCAACAACTTAGCCTTGCTGTTTGCATTATATAATCCTGGGCAAATTACTCCACCTCTTTAAGTCTAAGTATCCTTAAATGGAAAATATTTATCATAGTATCTACCTTCACAGGGTTAAGAATTAAACTAGGATGTAAAATGCTCAGCTGTGCCCCGTACAAAGTTAGTGAAAGGCAGTCTTCTCATAACGAGAGTGAACATGATGCCGTGAAAGGGGTTGCAAACAGACAAAGGAAGAAACTAAAGGGCTCCTATTCTGCATGGAAAGGAGGAAGCTATGCATGCAGCTGGAAGAAAGCCAATTATACTGCAATCAGGCTGTCATCCTGGTGAGACTGGTAGGGGAGGGTCCCTGGAAGAAAGCTGAGAGAGGCTCTAGAGATCCCTGCACATAGCTTTCCTACCCAGACGATGAAAATATACCAACAATAGCCTATCAGGTCATCCTCTCTCTCCAATCCATCCTGTATCCCCACAATGGCAATTACCTTCTAAATACACTGATGTCACTCTATTTAACATTCTTCAGAGTTCCCACTCTTTATAGAATAAAGTCTAATTCCTTAGCAAGGCATAACAGACCCTTGGGTTACACTCTGCTTAATTCTCCAGGAAACAACTCCCTCACCCCAATTTTTCCATCCATTTCTCTCCATCCTACCCCCCCAACCACTCCCCATTTAAAGCCTTTTCTCAACTTAGCAAACTATCTCCATACCCCCAACCTCATCACATCATCCCATACCTCTAAGTCTCTGCCCATGAAGTTCTCCTTGTCTGAATGCCCTGTTCTGATTATTTAGCAAAATCCTATGCATCCTTCAAGATTCATCTTCTTTTTCCATCCAGGCAGGGGTATCATTCTCTCTTCTGCAGTACACATATCTCAATTATTGCACATTCCTTCAATCAACAGATTCACTGAATCTCTACTATTAGCCACTATGCAAGGTAGTGTGAACATAAAGATAAATAACAGATTGTCTCTCCGTCTCCCCCCACCCCACCACACCTAGCCTAGAAGCTTGCTGGGGACTCTGACGTCTTACTCATTTTTGTATCCCCAGCACAATGCCTTGCATATAACAAGAGCTCAATAAATTCCTGTTGAAAAAAAACAAACAAACAACACACAAAGGAAGCATTCACAAGACTGTTTACTCCCTCGCGCCCCTCAGCACTTAATGTACCAAGTGTAAACTGAGTACCTGTTGCTTTGCAAAGGTCCCACCAGTGCCTGTGATGCGGTATAGCCTACCTCCTTCATTTGACTGGAAACTCCCTGAAGGCAGGGGCTGTGGCCTGTCTCCTTTCCTTCCTCTAGATCTCCCCCTGGTGCTTAATACAGAGCTTGGCTCACTGGGTTGGTCAGTATGTTGACTAAGGCAGCATTTAAGAGCGAAACTGCAAACACGCTTCCCAGTTATCTTGAAGGAGGAGGACTCTAGAGCTTTTTACCTGAGCCATGCCGAGTTCTCAATGCAACCCCAAAGTTCTGGGTTTTCTTGATCCACCTTCCCTTAAGACACTGTTGTTGGAAGAACTGTCACCAAATCACTGTAACAACTCCTTCGTGTCCCTTCAGTCCTGCTGCCATATTGAACTGCCTTTGTCGTCAAATAAAACTTAGTGTCCTCCAAATGGAAGAGAGGTGTTTCAAGAATTCCTGGGCTCTGGCTGGCTCCTGCCTATTGTCTGAGGAAAAGGAGTGTGCCAGTCTTGATGTTCCAACTGAATTTTCTCGACGAAGTTCGCGATCTGTTTCAGAAACCTGAAACTAGAAAGGGAGATGGGGCTGTTAGGTGCAACATCCTCAGGCTATCCAACCCGTAGTGACCTGAACTGTGTGTGTGTGTGTGTGTGTGTGTGTGTGTGCGCGCGCGCGCGCGCGCGCGTTACCTTTCTTTCTAGGCCGAGAAGAAACTGGTCTCTTGGGAAGGGGGGAGGGGACAGTCAAGAAGAGCAAAAGTAACCGGGGTCCCTTGTGGAGGGACCGCAACTGGCCAAACGCTCGCATTTGCGACCTGAGGAATGGAAGAAGGGAGCGGAGGCCCTGAAGGGGCTTTTGTGCGGAGTGGGCCATCCGCGAAGCTCTGTTAAGGTGGCCAGAACTGCGGTGGAGAGAAACTCAGGGGCTGCCACTGGGCACTTGGGTGCAGGAGGCAGAAACCAGACTGGCAGCGTGCACCCCGGCCGGGCCACGCGCGCGCCTTCTCCGAATCCGCCCGAAGGCGCAGAAACTCACTGCGGAGGTGGAAGGCAGGCATGCGAGGACTCGCGCTGCGCTTTCCTCCCTCCCTCCCTCCCCCCAGCCAGCCGGGGAGCCTAGCGACGGGATAGACACGCACAGCGCCGAGGAGCGTGCAAGGTGCGTGCTCGCGCCCGCGTTCCCTCCAAGCGAGCCCCCCTTTCTTGGGTCGGTCACGCGGCGGGCGCGTGGGCGGGGGGGCGGTGCGCGCGCGCGGCCTCTTCCACTCCCCGGGGAGCCCCCTCCCGTCTCCACGCGCCCCTCCTCCCTTCCCCTCCCCCTGCCCGCGTAGCGCCCCACGGCCTGCGAGCTGCTGAAGCGCTGCCGTCTGCTCGGACGACGCTGCGCTCCCCGGGGCGTGCTCCTACCTGCCAGGCGCGGCCTCCAGCGGGCTCACCCACTGCGCGACGCCTCCTCCAGGCCCAGTACACCGTGCCAACCCCGTGGCCGCCGCTGCCCCCGCCGGGACCGAGGCAAGTTTACAAACACCAACCCCGGGCCTGCTTCCCCGGAAGCACTTTCCCCTCCCCCTCGTCCTCTCCGCTGCACAGCTATATCCACTTCCGGGCTGGGGAGCCTGGCCGGGCGGGGACAGCTAGCAAAGGGGTGCTGCCGAGGACGCAGGGAATGGCGTGTAGCTGGTGCGTGAGTGGGCGGTGCCTTCGCACAGAAAGGAGGCTGGTGGTACGGTGCATGCGCCGGGGTGCGGGCGAGCCCCACGCGGCCATCTTGGCTGAGGGCAGGAACGGAGGCCCAGAAATGACGGAGCGGAGGTGCTTTTAAAGGTTTTGCCAGAGACTCCTCAGAAAAGCGCCATCACTCTACCTACGTTCTTCGTGGACGTTCTCTCAGTCGCTTTTGAACCTGGTGCCCCAAACAGCCAGAATAGTTCGTAATCCCACCATTTCTCGTAACTCGGCCGAGGTTGTCATTACTTGAGGTTTCCATCAGGCCCAGTCAGCTGGGAGAGGAATTAAGTTTTATAAATTTTTTTAAAACTGTATTTTATTGATTTTTTTTACAGAGAGGAAGGGAGAAGGATAGAGAGTTAGAAACATCGATGAGCTGCCTCCTGCACACTCCCTACTGGGGATGTGCCCGCAACCGAGGTACATGCCCTTGACTGGAATCGAACCTGGGACCCTTGAGTCCTCAGGCCAATGCTCTATCCACTGAGCCAAACCAGTCAGGGCTCCCAGCCACATTTTGCACACAGGTTTCATTTCCTTGGGCAGTCCATTAGTTGAGCCACTGGCAGCAAGTTTTTTCGCTCTTAGGATCATCATAAAATTGAGATAAAATGGAGTGAAACTGTCAGCAATAAGTTTTTACAAATTAGCTCATTTATTTTAACAATTTATGCAACAAAAGGATAAGAGGTAAAAAATGTTTAGTTTCCATCTCTTACTGCCCCATGCTCCTGAAGGTAGTCATTTTTGTCAATTTGGTATATATACTTCCAGGCTTTTTCTGTTCATACAAAAAAAATTTTTTTTCCCATTTAGAACATTTTTTGAGCACGTACAGTATGCCATTCAGTGTCTTTTAGACATCTAAGTGAGTTCACATCTTTTAAAAAAATATATATATATTTTGTTGATTTCAGAGAGGAAGGGAGAGAGAGCGAAAGAGAAACATCAATGATGAGAGAGAATCATTAATTGGCTGCCTCCTGCACATCCCATTGGGAATTGAGCCCAAAACCCAACTGGGAATGAGCTGTGACCTTGTGTTTCAGAGTCAATGCTCAACTACTGAACCACACCAGCCAGGCTCAGTTTAGAATTGTTGCATAGTATTCCAACTTATGTTTGTACTTTAGTTTTCCAGACCCATCCTGATGAACATTTAGCTTAGTTCCAATTTTTGTCTGTTTTATAAACAATGCCATAATGAACATCCTTATATAGTTAGCCTTTTGCATTAGATAGATTTGTAGAAAGGATATGTGCATTTTAAATTTTAACAAATTCTGTGAAATTGCATTTCAAAAGTTTGTAAGAATTTGTGCATTCACTCAGAACCATGTGTGAGTATCTCCATTTCCTACAACCTTGGCTATACTGGATGCTATGAATTTTTTTTTTTTAATATATTTTATTGATTTTTTACAGAGTGGAAGGGAGAGAGATAGAGAGTTAGAAACATCGATGAGAGAGAAACATCGATCAGCTGCCTCCTGCACACCCCCTACTGGGGATGTGCCCGCAACCCAGGTACATGCCCTTGACCGGAATCGAACCCGGGACCTTTCAGTCTGCAGGCCGACGCTCTATCCACTGAGCCAAACCGGTTCTGGCTGCTATGAATTTTTTATACAGTTGCTAATTCGATAGGTGAAAAATAGTAATTTCATTGTTTTGTTTGTCATTAATAGTGGAATTGAGCATCTCTTGTTTTTTTTAATATATTTTTTATTGATTTCAGAGGGAAAGGGAGAGGGAGAGATAGACAGAAATATCAGTGATAGGATGGAATCATCGATCAGCTGCCTCCTGCACAACGCCACTGGGGATTGAGCCCACAGCCTGATATGTGCCCTGACCGGGAATCGAACTGTGACCTGGTTCATAGATGTATGTTCAACCACTGAACCATACCGGCCAGGCTACCCCCCTATTTTTTTCCCCATTTTATTTTATTTTTAATTTAAATTCTTTTTTTTAAATTTATTAAATCTTTATTGTTCAGATTATTACAGTTGTTCCTCTTTTTTCCCCCCATAGCTCCCCTCCACCTGGTTCCCACCCCACCCTCTGCCCTTACCCCCCCCCCGTCCTCATCCATAGGTGTACGATTTTTGTCCAGTCTCTTCCTGCACCCCCCACACCCTTTCCCCCCCCAAGAATTGTCAGTCCACTCCATTTCTATGCCCCTGATTCTATTATATTCACCAATTTATTCTGTTCATCAGATTTTTTATTCACTTGATTTTTAGAATCACTTGATAGATATGTATTTGTTCATAATTTTTATCTTTACCTTTTTCTTCTTCTTCTTCTTCTTCTTAAAGAATACCTTTCAGCTTTTCATATAATACTGGTTTGGTGGTGATGAACTCCTTTAGCTTTTTCTTATCTGACCTTCAATTCTGAATGATAGCTTTGCTGGGTAGAGTAATCTTGGTTGTAGGTTCTTGGCATTCATCACTTTGAATATTTCTTGTCACTCCCTTCTGGCCTGCATAGTTTCTGTTGAGAAATCAGCTGACAGTTGTATGGGTACTCCCTTGTAGGTAACTGATTGTTTTTCTCTTGCTGCTTTTAAGATTCTCTCTTTGTCTTTTGCTCTTGGCATTTTAATTATGATGTGTCTTGGTGTGGTCCTCTTTGGATTCCTTTTGTTTGGGGTTCTCTGCACTTCCTGGACTTGGAAGTCTATTTCTTTCACCAGGTAGGGGAAGTTTTCTGTCATTATTTCTTCAAATAGGTTTTCAATATCTTGCACTCTCTCTCTTCTTCTGGCACCCCCATAATTCAGATGTTGGTATGCTTGAAATTGTCCCAGAGGCTCCTTACACTATCTTCATATTTTTGGATTCTTCTTTCTTTTTGCTTTTCCGGTTGGGTGTTTTTTACTTCTTCGTATTTCAAATCTTTGACTTGATTCTTGTGATCCTCTAGTCTGCTGTTGGATCTCTGTATAATATTCTTTATTTCAGTCAGTGTATGCTTAATTTCTAGTTGGTCCTTTTTCATATTGTCGAGGGTCTCACTAGATTTATGGAGGATCTCACTAAATTTATCGGCGGTTTCTAGAAAATTCTTGAAAAACCTTAAAAGTGTGGTTTTGAACTCTATATCCAGTAGTTGCTTTCCTCCATTTCTGTCATTTGTGACCTGTTTCTTTGTCTCCGCATTTTGGCTGCTTCCCTGTGTCGATAGAGTGGCTTTGTGTGCTAGGTGTCCTATAGGGCCCAGTGGCTCAGCCTCCCCAATTACCTGAGGTGGACACTCTTGGTGCACCCCTTTGTGGGCTGTGTGCATAGTCTTGTTGTAGTTATGCCTTGATTGTTGTTGGTATCAGTGGGAGGAATTGACCTCCAGGCCAATTGCTGTGAGATCAGCTGTGTCTACGGTGGGAGAACTTCTGTGCTGGAGACACCCCTCCGGGGCAAGACTTGCTTCAGTGGGGCTTTGGTGCTCACTGAGTCTGCCCCCTGAGTGTGTCCCTTCTGGATCTGAGGAGTTGTAATCTGGATGGTCCCACTCTGACCACTGGGTACACTGGCACTTGGATCTCTAAGGAGGTGCTAATTTAGCCTCTGCCTAAGGCTACCCAGCAGGAGCTATGGAGAGATCTGCAGATTCCTCTTCTTTGTTTGGGGTTTGGAGGTGCCCAGATGAGGCCCAGCTGTGAAGCAATGCAAGCTGCTGTGGGGCCTTGGGCCTTCTTTTGGATGTTCTGGGTCTCTCTGACCCAGCTGTAGTTTGTTAGGTAATTTTAGATTGCAAAAGGCCAGGTCATTCATGTGCAAAAGCCTCTGAGCACAGCTTGGGTGGGGCGGGGTCTCAGGGAATCAACAGGGCGGAGCAAACAGCTATGGCTGATCTTCAGCCTTGCCCTAAGAGGCCCCGGGTCTCAGTGTCCCACGGTCATCGCTGCAAGCACCTCTGAGAATAGTATGATTTTTTAAATATTTTAAATGCATCTGATAAATATTTATCAGATGCATTTAAAATATTTTCTCTTGGATTTTCATTTATCTTTCAAGCTGCCCCCGAGTTCCACCCGATGCCAGACAGTCCAGTTTCTCCCCCTATGAGTCTGGGTCCCCAGAGACTCACCTGGAACTGGAGTTCAGGGCCGTCGGGAGCGTGTGTCTCCCTCCTGATTGAAAAAGACAACCGCCTCCTCAGTTGCCAGCCCTTTCCACATGCGCCTCCGTACCTCTGCACTTTACTTCCACACCTCCTCTGGGTCTCAGTGTGCTTTTCTCTTTCCTTCTAGTTGTAGAATTTCCACTCAGCCAGTCTTCCTGTGGTTCTGGATAATGTCCGTTTTGTCTTTTATATGTATTTTTAAAGTGGTTGTGTGAGTCAGCAATT